AAACAATGTTTCATTCTCTCTTAAGTCTGTCTATCTCAACTATTCTGTGTGGACTTCCTGACTTATAATTTATAACCGCTTCAATTTGTCCCCTTGCTAGCACTCGAGGTCTTCCTCATGTGAGCTTACCACATGAAATGATGTAAAGATTCAAAGCAAGTACGAATTACTGCTGAATCAGCTTTCACGAATAGCCAATTGTGTACGCTAGCTCGCAAGCCTTCTCCGGTAAATATTTCGTTGAATATTTTGGTAGCAACAGCAGAAAAAGCCGACACGTAGGTGCTCTCTTGGTTCAGTGCATTTTTTACTCCCTTTCCTCTTCCTGTTTGCCCATTTGCCCTACTTTGTTGTTTCGGGACAGGACTCCTTACATGGAGTGCCGTCGGTTGGACCACGCAAGCCTACTTTACTCTTTTATCTTATACTGTCTCCTCCGCGCTGCATTACGCGTGTCTTATTCATCCGAATCGCTCTCTGGCGGCACATCAGCCTCCCTCCTGTTCCTCCTCCTCCTTTTCCGCTCTAAATCCTGCCTGTCCGTAGATTTTCCCCCATCTTTTCCACCAGTTCTACCGGTAACGGGAGAGTGAAGAGCGGACTGGGGCAATTAATGGAAGGATAGCGAGCTGATTCAGCGCTTTACAAGGCCTGGGTTAGCCTGTCCAATATTTCCAGTATATTTTTGCGCTACCTCTATACGTTACTTCTTTTACCATCAAGGTCATAATCTGAAACATGTTTAATCTTTGAGTTTGTAAAGCATGAGCACTGCAATGGGGGATGAGGAAATCTAGGTTTCTAATCGAAGCGTTATAGCCTCCAATTTCAAGCATATATGATTGTTCGGGTGCTTCAGTTACAGCGTCTTGTGGCTACATTTGATTGATGAGGTAAGAATTTTCGTTGGAAGGCGAAACTCTTCATTAGTTCCGCAGTGACTAAAGTCTGATGAACGTAAGAATAGGAGTAGGTTAGGCGTAACGGCAGATGAATCTCTTCCTCATCATGACTCTTTAGTAGGTATAAGTTATCACCTCCAGTTTTCTAGCGCTCTAAGTCTACGTACGTGAGCGCGCGTAGGCCTTGGGGCGGCAGCAGCGGCAAAACTCTTTGTCGGCGACCTCGCCTTTCATCCTCCCTCATAATAATAATAATGACGAGCCATTTGAAGTTGCTTCAGCGTGCGCGTGTGTGTGCGGGTGCGATGCCTGGCAGAGTACCACTTCGGTAGAGGCGGCGGTGGTGTGGGATATCTCGCTCGCTCTCGTGCATATGAACTTACGAATTCCGAACGACGCTACGAGGGAACATAATCGGTGTGTGTGTGTGTGCATCTGGGCGTCCATAAACTTCCTCGATTTCACCACCACCGCCAACCATATCCGATTTCTGCCAGGCGCTTTAATGATTGAAATGAAGGAGGCGGTGGTCCATTTCAACCCTCTCGTGACACCCCCTCCCGGCGTTGCCGTTTTACACAAAAAAGCGCGAGAAAGGCAACTCATTTTCGAGCCACTCTTTACATCCTCCCTTTTATGCAGGAGCCGACACACAAACTGGTTTTATTATGCTACTGGAAAAGGAGATGTAGAGGAGGGCTAAAATTTACAGCGGACCCTGCATGCACATGGGCAAGCATATCTCCATGCTTGCGCGCACAAACGTATGTGCATTTTATTGCTCTCCAAGCCGGCGGCATCTATCTTTGTCGGCACTCTCTCCTTTCATCCTTATGCACATGCGCGCACGTGCTCTTTTTTCTCTCTAATGGCTTAAACCAACGTGCATGCTTCGTATCCTAGCCACGAACCAAGAAAGACTGTACGCATCACGCCCATAGACACTCATCCGAGTTACCACTTTAGACTCAAAACACGGTTTTTGCGGATGTTCCGCAGCTGCTGACTGCTATTATCCATTGCTAATAAATAATAGTGTTTTTCTATGTAATGGATGAGACTTTAAAGGATTATGAACGCAGAATATGTCTTGACTGGCTACTGTGAGCAAGAAACGCTTGTTTTATTGCTTAAACCATTCTACAGCTTTACCGTATCTTAAGTTCGATTAGGCTTTGATCTTTGGGTAATAAGCCTTTGCTCCGACGATTTCGCCTACTTTAAAGAGGCCACAAGTTTGTTTTCCTTTGTTGATAACCGTCTTGATTGATTTGGTAGTTTTTAGTTATGTTCCTACCTTCTCTATTTTCCTTGGATCTAACAGCGGCTTTTGTCTATTTGTGCTACTGCGCACGTGAGTATCTCTTCTATCATAAAGTTGGAGAAAGCGAGAGAGCAATAGGGCATACGCGCCAATTGTAAAAGTAACCTAATCATAGAGGTCCCTTGCTCTGTGTTTAAGTCCAGATCAAAACGTCTTAGAGAACGGAGGTGGCAGAAAGGCTGGGAGGAGATAGTGGAGGGGATTACGGCTGCACGCAAGCAAACGCACGTACACCAGCACTACGTCGCGTCACCATCAATGATCATAATGGAGGCGGCGGCGGCGCTTTTGTGTGCGTCTTGGCACTCACAAAAAAAGATGTATCAATAAAGTTCTTTGGTTTAAGGTGGTCTTTACCTTTTTGGTCTCAATGGACAGGATTGAACGTTAAACTCTCAGCGATTGTTCGCTGCCGCCCGCCTTTCTAGCCTTTTATTAAGAAGACAGAAGAGAAAGAAAAATTGGAATGGAAAGAAGGTAAAGACGATGGCTTTGCAGGAATGATTGGCAGGCTTCCTCTCGTCCCTACGCGCCTCTATCGATCAAAGGTGAAGAGTGTGGGTGGTCTTATGCCACTTTCTCCTTCCCCCACCTACCTGTGGAAGGCGAATGAATTGGTCGGTTTAACGCATGCACGCGGCGCGCGCACATCACCTCTCCAACCTTCATTTTCCAGCAGTGGTGATTGGTTAGTAAGAGTTGAACATTGCCCTCAAAGCAAACTTGCCGCCACCACTCCTACTCGATTTTTCAGCAGCCGGTATTGTCCAAAAATAGTGAGACGAGTCAGTGCATCTATTGTCGTGACTGTTGGAATATTCAGATCCAAACGCAATGCGGCCGAAATCGACAATAATTCAACTCCTGGGGATGTCTAATCGCGCCACAATCTGGCGTTGCCGTCTTCCCGGATTGTATGCAAATGCTACCCCTTCAGACAAAGGCTGTTCTGCATGCACTCTTTCGCTAGGCCGTACGCCTACCGCTAAAGCCTGCTCACACAACTTAGTGCCGCACGCATGCATTTGGCGGAGCTTTGTTGGTTGGCGGCCTCCAATCTGACTACCATATGGAATCTTGGAGGGGAATAATTTGCTTGTTATAAATTTCCACACGCACCCTTCGTTTCTTAAGCAAGCGGTAGTGGATAACGAAACATTTATTTGCACTTGTAACCCTCTGTCACTCTTATTGACACTAGTTCACACGGTCGATTTGAAGACTTACCAATGCAGCTGTGGTTTTCTTATTTTAGTTGGATGCAAGCGTGATTTCTTCAGAACTACAGGATACTGTGGATTCCTGTCGTCAGTTATTTGAGGCAATAAGTCATCTTTAGCCTAAAAGGAGATGGGTGAGTTCCACTCCGATCCACCTATGGTCCGCACAAATGCAGCCACAACGCTATACTCTTCCATAGAAATCACACACCTACTAGCGTTATTAACTCCTACAGGCAAATGCGCAACATCAACAGCAACAAGATCAATAATAACAGGATCACTTCATCACACCAAAAAGTTCAACGACGTGCTCGCTACGTTACTGAACACAAACTATCTACCTCAATTGTATTTTTCTACAACAAATCCTCTCCCCTGCTCTATCCTTCTTCCAACCTCTCTTTTGATCGTGTGTTAAATCCGCATTTCTTCGTGATAGCGCTGCTCGTAAGAGTACTCCCCTACCTCCGCCGCTAACAATAATGTATGTCTTATTTCCTTACTCCTCACACACTTCAAAGGTTTATTCTTCTTGCTAATGTTACTTTGCCGATTTCTGTGTCTATATTCTCCCTAAGTGCGTTGTCCAATAATACTAAATAGAACACAATAGTATCGGAGTGTGCGACGAACTTTTGGGCTGAAATTCTTGATTTTGAAGTTTAGGTCTTCTTAAGAGGTATGTCTTTAGTCATTTTTTTTACGAACATCGCAAATGAGTAAATTATCCCTGCCTTCCTAGTTTGGGAAGAATTGTATTGATGAGGTTTATGGGTTCTTTGGGTGATTTTACACTCTCGTCCTGCCTGCGACATACTCTGAACTTTCGTGGCATTTTGCACAACACGATATTATCAATGGATAGATCCGCAACGAAATGCCTTGCAGGGGAGGAACTAAGTCAACTACAAGTGCGTATCAATTCAATGCACGAAGTTTTTTCGCAAGCGCATACAAATTTTAGCAGGTACGAATAAAAGCTATTTGAAAGATTTACGCAAACAGCAGACACTTTAACTTCATGGGCTATGATTTTGCACTGGCACTAACACGAATTTTAAGTACACGGTCGCCTCACCTCTAAGACATGACTTTAAGCATATGACCGTCTGAGAGACAGCCTTGGTTCACTAGGATTTCATTGTGGTTTAGAAGAACACCAACCGGACTTCAATATTAAGAATTATATAATGAACAAAATCCTAGCATAGATGTCATTATAAACAAATCCACGCCATTGTTCGGCTTAGTAAAAATCATCCTTAAATAAGGACATATGGTCAAACACTTTGCAGAAGCATTCCCTATGGTAAAAAGGAACAAATATTAATGAAGTTCCATATAATTTAAATTTGACGATACTACCGCAATTAAATAAATTGGACAATGTGTTTGTTGGCTTAAAACCACCATGAGAGGTAACGCTTCTGATTAACTGTTCAAAGCGTGTGTTTAGGCATAGAAAGCCTTGGAAATTTGTTTAACTCTACCAGATTTGAAATAATTGTCTCGGTGGGGATTGAGCGTGTTGCTTCGCTCTTGCTTTCGAGCATGGGGTTAGAACGCCTTAATATCATTGCGGCTGTTGCCAGCAACGGTGGCATTGGGAAGGAGAATAAAGTGCCATGGCGGATTCGGTATAAATTTACTGCAGATTATACTATACTGTCTTCCTTTGCAGTATACTTCTGATTCTTGGCCTTTACAACCACTCGTTTTTTAGCTAGCATGACACCTACATAGGCTGGTTAGCGAGACTTTTTTTAGTCCGCTGAGGCTTTATTTTAGTGCCCTATTATAAGTTAGCGATGCACTGGTTCTGTTTTCGTTTCCGATTACGGCAGTATTTTATCTTAGGTGTCGTCTATGCATTGCAATGATTGATGTAGAACTGGACTTAGAAATCATTGTTAAGTTTCTCATCTTTACTTCAGGGAGGATATGGCCTTTTTTAATAGGATAACCTCAACATCTCGAGAGGGCAAGACGAATGCTATAATTATTGGAAGAAGAACATGGCTCTCCTTACCACAGAAATCTCGTCCTCTACCAAATCGAGTCAACGTGGTTGTGTCTACACAACTCGAAACGTAAATCAATGACTTAATTATTCCTTTTGTTTAGGATACCCGAAGGTGCCTATCTTGTCGAGTCGTTTGGAGACTCTTTGCGTCTGGTTGAGTCTTTGGTCGATAGCGGCCGGGTAGACGAGGTCTTTATCATCGGGGGTCATGGTTTATATAAGGCAAATTTCACGAAATTGCAATTCTAATTCTGATTTGTGGACCTACATTTCTTAACTTGTCTCTGCTATTGCCTTTTATCCTAGGAAGCACTGGAACAAGAGGTGTATCCCGTTCGCCTCTATTACACACACATTATGAAGGATTTCGACTGTGACACGTTCTTCCCTTCTTTTGATTGGAAGCGATTTACACATATTCAGTAAGCTGCAGGTATTTTTCAGCGTCAGGTCCATGCTACTCAGATTCACGGTTAATTATTAGTATTCTTTTATTCAAGGTTAGATACAGTGGATTCTGGCTTAAAACACTGTGGAGATGTCGAATTCCGATTTGCTGTTTACGAGAGAGAATCTCGTGCCCTAAATTGTGGTTAAATTTTCTATTTTTACTATTTCGAAAATTATTCGTTTTTTTACAATGGTAGAACCCACTTCTGTTTAACACGAGGAGTTCGCGTAAATAGGAATTATGGGGAGTTTCTTGTAGAGCTATTCTGTTGGATTGTAAATTAAACAAAGAATCGAATTATATACTACTTATGGTATGGCAGGACGGCTTGGTGCCATTTGGTTGACTATCGTGGTGTCCGGGCGTGTGGCTCATCGGGGTGGTAGCTCTACCCTACGTATTTGCCAAGTGTATATGAGGATATACGAGCGGAACTGGGGTCTGGGTTGGTTAGGTTCGTATCGTGTGCGGCTCGGTCATGCACCGAGTTCGCATTACTCACGATCATTTGCAATTTGCGACAAATCGGGGGGTCCTCGCGTATCCTACAGGACGTTGGTCGCGTCGTCGATTGTCGTCACGTTTGGTGTTTATTGAAACTTCTCATCTAGTAGAAATGGGTGACAAGTTGAGGTGATCGCATGTATCCTAGGAGAGCACGAAGGCTAAGCCTGAGCTTGGTCTGTAGGTCGGCCGATACATAAAAGAGTCAGACTAATCTTGAAGAAGCCGTCAGGCATCAGGTAGTCATGCCGTCTCTTATTTTGCACAGTTACCTCGAGGCACCTCTTGCTACACCTCTCACAGTAGCCGTCGCAGCATATTCTGTAGTGCAAGGAAGCATTCGCCAGCCAGCTGCGCCATGGAACTGGTGAACGGTGCTTCGTCCCTTCAGCAGCTTCACCTGGATCTGGCGTTACGTTCGATCAAGGAGCGGGAATCACAGTCGCATACATTTACTGACCACCAATTTCTTCCAGAACTAGACGGCAGAACTCTGGTTAAGAACAGGCGTTTACAGAGGAAACGGGATCAGACACAGTCCGGTATATAAGGAGAACTGTAGTGTCATTTTTTACACCTAAACACGGATTTGGTAGGAACACTAATATATAAACTAGAATATTTGGGTTTGCCTTTATAGGGAAGAGGAAAGAAGTCAATTCGAACACGAATTCGATGCGTGAAGACTGTAAGGATTCCCTCTTCGGGAAAAATCTGCTTTCCGGCTCGTCAGTACTCCCTATTTCCGTCCTCTCTTGAAGTCCGAGGTTCAAGAGCATGAGAGTAGGCAGTCAGGCTCTACAGAGACTTCTGACACAAAACTTTTTCGGGTATTTTACGGTGCTGTCGCTTCAGTTGTTAATAGCTAGTTTGTGGAATACGGAGACAAGGTGAAGCCAAACTCAGACACCATCCTCAACTCTTTTGTATTACAAATTCAGAGATTCTCTCGCCTTTAATGTAAATGCGCCTTCTCCACACCGCAGGCACATAAAACAAACGGTACATACCAAAATAAAAATCGTTAAAAAATGTCGAAATGTGTACCAAGGGGGACGTCGAGGACGCCGCTCAAAAGAAGAGAGGTGCAGTGTAATACCTTATTTACGTGGCTACCTGGTGTCTGACGAACCTTTAGTATTCGTATTTCTGGTGCTTTGTTTATGACATTTGGCAGCCACTTTGGGATTTGTCTGGCCCTTGTACACGTGGGCTGGCCTTCAGGCCATGCTCGGGCCCATTTGTCCTGTCGTCTTCAGAATTGTACGTATCCATCTGCACTTACTGACTTCTTATATTTGGCCAGGAGATCTCGAGACGCTACATATGCCACTGTGCTTGAATTTTCACGATCGTTTTATTGCGAATTAAGGTCTTGAGAAAGGCGAGGGTCGATTCATGGAGTAAGGACAAATTACCGTCCTGACGTAACAATTGGTTTTCTTATTTGGCAAAGAATGCTTAATAGACTTCCTCATTACATTTTTTTAATGACAACGGGGGTTCATTTGGGAGTTTCTACATACGAAGTATTTATCGACTCGGTTTTAAAGTTTTAAAGTTCTTAAGATAGCTGACAGGAGGTATGATTTTTAGCAGTCTTGCTTAAACAACGTTTGTCTCATGTGAGTGGTTTTGGCTGAATTTTATCTTTCCCAACATGGCACCTTTAATGAAACGATAAACAAGAAATTCTTTAAATTCCACTGCGCTGAAGTACAAATACCTTAAGTAAAATTTTTACTTTTTTAAACAACAAAATATTAAGATTTTTGGATGTGTTTATGCGCAATAAATAGTGGTCCTTGTTTGACTATATCACGGCTGTCGAGGTTTGATATAGTGCATGCGGTAGATTCAGTTGTCTCACTTACGGTCATTTGGTGTTCTGAGTGTCGTTGGGACCGCGAGTTGAGCCTTATTTTATTCAGATTGCAGGATTTTGACTTTATGATTGTGGATGATGTGTCGCCTTAAAGCTGATGATGATGATGAGCGCCATTGCTTTATTCCAGACTCTGATGGGAGTTTGTCGGTATGCTTTCCTTCCAGCCTAATCGGCTTAGGATATGTGGGCGTTTAAACACTCAAAACTGGCGACGACAAGGAAGTGGATATGTTATTTCCTGACATTTTTTTTCCTCCGTCTCGTTTTTCAATGGTTTCCTCAGTGGCACATTCGATTTGCCATGTCCGCTTGTAGAATCAAGGACGCGAAAAAGTTTCTTATCAAGGTTTGTTTTGGTTCTTCGTGATTTTTTTAGGACAGTAGTTGTGTTTTTTACATTGCTGATGTGAGAAGGTCCCCACAATCGGGTTTTGATGTTAACGACTCTGGTAGCACATATTCCAGTGCCTTGTCGGATACATCACAGTACTTTACGGCGGGAACCTCGCAAAATGATGTGGTAATAAGGCTTATGCGCCTTATATTATTTATGTAGGGTGGTTCTATTCAGTCTTGGATATACTACAAGAATATGAAGTATGTTCTGGATAGTGAGGATGGGCACTATCATCTGCTACCGTAGGCCCTTTTTTAATTAAAGGTCTATATACTTCCTGTTTCCTGAATTTATCTCACTCTGGATTTTGAAATTCTTCTATAGCAACTGGGACGAGCGGCCAGCATCGGATATCGTTAGTGCTCGACCACTTATGGAACAGGAGGCGGCGCGTCGTCGATCTTTGTACGATGTAAATGATATCCCCATCCCACGACGGAGTGTTGGACAACTGCTCCTAAAAGAGGTAGGAATATAATTTGGACTAAACGGTAACCAAATTTGTAGGGACTTAATCAATTCTACGTCTTTCAATTGGCAAGTTGCATCTTGTGGTTCTGTGACTCCTATTATTATTACGCGGCGGCTATTCTCCTCATTTCTGCTATGTCCCTAACTTGGAATATTTGTGACTTGAGAAGGGTAAGCCGGCTTAAATTCAATTTGAAAGGCGGCCTTTTGACTCTCATCCAAGTTTTATTTCACTCCTTAGAGCGAAAAAGCTCTTCGCGATACTGTCACCTCGTATGGGACCGTAAACCTCTGTCGCGAAGTCAATGGGAGTCCAAGTTCGTTCTTTCAGTTTTGTTCCTTCTTACTGCTCCCTCTGTGTGGTTCACTTCTTTTAACATCCTTCCAGAGTTCTATTCAGTTAATTCAACGGATCTTGTGCCCGGTGATATCATTGAAATCCCTCGGGATGGGTGTCACATGTTTTGTGACGCTGTTCTCCTTCAGGGCAGTTGTATAGTCAACGAGAGCACGTTAACTGGTCAGTCTTATTATTTGCTAACTCTTGGCTTGAATCCTACCAGCTCAGCTCGAGATTTTGAATACGCATGATTTCGGAGTTAGATTTTGAAGTTTTCTTATGTGTAGGTGAAAGCGTCCCAGTGACGAAAATTTCATTTGTTTCGTCTCGGGAAACTGACGGCGCTTCTCCACAGTTCGAATTGAAGGCTTCCTCTAAGAGTGTTCTCTTTTGCGGCACTTCTGTCATCCAATCGCGTAACTTTGCCGATCAGAAGGTCATAGCCGTGGTTGTACGCACCGGTTTTCGCACCGCCAAGGGTGAGATGGTCCGTGCTATTCTATTCCCCAAACCTATGAAGTTTAAGTTTACTCGCGACGTAAATCGCTTCGTTGGGGTTCTCGCTCTCATCGCCGTGGGTGGCTTTGCCTTTTCTGTCTACATATTGGTAGGTGGATATCCTTGCACATTGGGATCGCTATTGTCATGCTAAATGATGTCAGAATGAGTTGTTAGTGGTAGAAGTAAAATTTAGTGCGACAAGAAACCTATGTGGCTATATATCTTTTAGTTGATAATTTTTAGACTGAAAGCATTACGTCTTTGTATCGAATTCATAAGTAACTTTGATGTCTATTCTAGCTCCAAAATGGAACAGAGGCAGGTGATATTGTGAAGAGAGCATTCGATTTAATCACGGTAGCAGTTCCACCCGCGCTGCCTGTTGCAATGACTGTGGGCATTGTGTTCGCTCAAGGTCGTCTCAAGAAGAAGAATATTTTCTGCATCAATCCAAGCGTCATTAATGTCTGTGGTATTATAGACGTTGCCTGTTTCGATAAGGTGTGTGCGGGGTGCACTTTCAGAGTTTCCAGAATAACCATATTTACGCATGGGTTTCGTTTTGCTACGGTTGTCCGATTATTTTCATAGACTGGTACGATTACAGAAGACGGTTTGGATTTGTGGGGCGTCATCCCTAATGGTCATGGAACTTTTGAGAAACCTGTAGCACAACCGAGTGAGCTGCCACGGGGACCTCTACTCGAAACCATGGCAACTTGTCACTCCCTCACTAGAATCGGGGGCGAACTTTCTGGTGATCCGTTGGACTTGAAGATGTTCCTCTCCACCAGTTGGGTATGTTTTTGAACACTTCCGGAGCTCTGGGTTTACCTGACTGCTTCTCGAGGATGTATGGGTTTAGATCCGTTAGAAGCTTATACGTGTTTTTTACCCAGTTGGTAAGTGGTCTGACGATGTACATTGGATTGTACTGTATTTAACTTCCATAGGAGTTCACTGAGGAGATCTCAGAAGACTACTGCAAGTTTGAAATGACTATTCCGGCCATCGTTCGACCTCGCACCCCGCCATCTACTGAGGTTCTGGATACCACTTTGGCTGAGACTGAGGTATGCTATTTTCTTTTGTACAATTATTAGCTTTTTGAGGCTGACTCATTTAGGGTGCTATGCTTCTGCCTCATTCCTCGGATCAAACAATGGCTCCTGGGCATCAGTTTTCGGTTCTACTTTGCCCACCCGTTAGAGTGACTAGCTCGTTTTCACTAGATGATGCAGCCAGATTTTTATGCGGGACTCTGTGTATAGTCTCCAATGTTACCTCGGTCATTAGTAGAACTAGCGTTAATTTTAGCTCTTTGTACTTGCTAATTGTATTTGGATTCATTAATCTCAGTATGTATTACTAAATATATTATTTGTTTCGTTATTGAGGAAAGTTGAATGCAAGGAAATAGTGTAACTGCTGCTATTGTGGCCCTAATTACCTCAATAATACGCAATCTCCAAAACGCTTTTGTATTGCTGCTTGTCTAATTCAACGGTCAAATTGAATTCAAGGTCAAATTGTTTTAAAAATTTCACTGATTTGCTTGGTTGTTTTTCCCCACTTATTGAACTCCCACATCATACCACGTAATTTTTCTGCAGGCATTGCCCTACGAAATTGGTATTGTGCGACAGTTCCCATTCAGCTCAACACTCCAAAGAATGTCTGTTATTGCGAGAGCCCTCAACGGAAGCCACTTTTGTGTCTACACGAAAGGGTCCCCTGAGATGATCGAAACACTTTGCCGGAAGGAAACACGTAAGTTGAAGACCCTTTGATGGGAGTAGAATGTACAGTCGCACCCCTTCCATCTCTTTCCTGGCCCTTTTAGTCCCTCGCGACTTCCATAACGTGTTGTTGGAGTACACCCGCGAGGGCTATCGCGTGCTAGCTCTAGCCTGGCGGCCGCTTCGAGCAACTTACACTCGAGTCATGCGTCTTCAACGCAGCAGCATCGAATTTCAACTCCAGTTCCTTGGCCTGCTAGTGATGGAGAATCGTCTCAAGCCGGAGAGCGCTCCTGTCATCAAAACCCTTCAGGAAGCCCGCATTCGGCCTGTCATGGTTACTGGTAAATTAAGCTAAATTCCTCCTTCATCTCTCTTAGTGCTTGTTATGCGAATAGATTCCAGGGATGTTGCAATATTTTTCCTCTTAGGTGATAACATGCTTACTGCTCTTTCGGTCGCCCGCGATTGTGAGATGATTGATGAAATGGATCGTATAATAATCGTCTCGGCAAAATCACCAAAGCAGTCTTCTAAAGTAGCAACACTAGAGGAAGTCAGTGGAGATCTACACATTTTTGGTGATTGCTCCTCGTCTCCTGATGATTCAGTGGAGTCTTGGAAGGATTTAGTGCAGTTCCACTATGCTGAGGACCTTCACAAACCAGTGACGGAGGTGACAACTGCTTCCAAAAGGCAGACTTATGATCTTGAAAATGAAGAGGATTCGGAAGTCATTCCAAGGCACTCTAAAATTGGCAGGTGGTTAATGAACTTGTGAGTCAGATGATAAATCACGTACAGCCTCGATGCGTGGGCGTTGTAATTCAAACACATTTTCACCCGAAACGAAGGTTTACTGAAAGCTGTTATGATTTTAGAAGAAGGAAACGGGTCTCCTCGCCTTCTAGTAGGGGCGTGACAGATGATGTGGAAGGTTATGGGAGAGTTTCCAGCAAAGAGAAGGCGAGTGAGAAGACACGACAAATTCACGGTAACCGAATGTATGGACGCACCAAATTAAAACATCGTATCACTCTGCGTATGATAGACCGACCTGATTTTCATTTGGCTATTTCGGGCAAAACGTGGGGCATTATTCGCGAGCACTTTCCCTCTCTTATTCCCAAGGTAAGAGTAAAAACTGAGTTGTAGCGATGTAAGTTAGGCATTGAACATATTTGAATTCAAGACAAACCATAACGGGATCATCAGGGAGCACAAATAAACATTGTTCTCCTTCCTTTCTAGCTGGTGGTGAAAGGTACGGTTTTCGCTCGTTTCTCACCAGAACAGAAATCTCAACTGGTGGAGGCTCTGCAATGCGTGGGTTACTTTGTCTCAATGTGCGGTGACGGAGCTAACGACTGTGGTGCGTTGAAAGCGGCACATGCGGGCATAGCACTGAGTCAAGCCGAGGCGTCTGTAGCTAGTCCCTTCACTTCGGGCCTGCAGAATATCAGCTGTGTGCCCCAACTTATCCGTGAGGGTCGCTGTGCATTGGCCACTAGCTTTGGCACTTTCAAGTTTATGATGGGCTACTCCATCACCCAGTTCACCAGTGTTCTCATACTCTACTGTGTAGGTCTTACCTAAATTTTCCACTATTTTTTTTTCGTTGGTACGATACAGTGCCTTGTTTACCCATTCTAGGTTAACTCAGTGCTCGAAGATATGCAATTTCTCTACATCGACTTGTTCGTTATTACTTCTCTCGGCGTTACCTGTAAGCCTCCTTCCCTTTATAGTCCATATCTCTGTTAGTAGCAGTAGTAACTATGTGCTTTTGCTTTCAGTTAGTTATACCAGGGCTTATGAACGCCTTTCACCTGAACCTCCAACAATGCGCCTTGTCTCCACAACGACCCTCCTTTCACTAGGGAGTCAGTTGCTCCTAGTTATCGGTACTCAACTAGCCGCTTTCTTCTACTTTGGCTCTCAGCCATGGTAGGTGTTCTGTACTTCCTAATACTTGAATACTTTTTTCCTAGTTATACATTCGCTCAAAGCTAACTTGCTTTTTAGGGCGTTTGAAGAAGGGGAGATAACGAATGCGGCAATCTTCCTTGTTTCTTGTTACCAGTACGTACTGCTCGCCGTGATTTTCTCCAAAGGTCCGCCATATCGTCGCAGAATGTATACAAATTGTAAGTTTTCGTACAATGTTGTACATTTGGATGCGTAGCTCTTTCGGCACGCATACACTGCCATTATCCACAAGGTCTCTTAGTTTCGACCTTACAAAGTCCTTGAAAATAGCCACTCTCTGCGCCTTGGCAATGTGAAATAATCCAGTCAAGCACTCGATTCAAGCCTAAGCGGGTACCTTTTAGTGAATCCGAGTGTAATATTCCGGTTGCATGGAATGTCCTAAGTGGGATCGTTTTATGCCTTTTAGACCTCTTCCTGGCTAACGTCCTTATCGTTCTGGGAATTAATCTCTTAATCAGCTTGTACCAGGGAGAAGCTCTGCTGGATTTCATGGGTGTGCGTATTTTTCCCTACTGATGTTCCTTTGGTGTTAACTTCAGTTGAATTTTTTTCTCTTTCCAGTTAGCAGTATTCCCTTCCTACAAGGCCCGTACAATGCTAGTATTGATTGCTCTGGCGAATTTTCTATTGGGCTCCTTGATTGAAATGCTGGTAGAAGGTGTGGCCTTCCGTCGGCATATGCGGGAGCTTAAGAAGACATTTTTTCCTAGCTATGTGGCTCGCAAGGATTACGAGCGCATTCGCGAGGAGATAGATCGAATGGCGGGCGATTGGCCACCTGTCATCCGTTCTGCTAGCATTCAGGACATTAGGACGGAGTTCTTTGCTGAGGAACAGCAGCAAGAGGCTACGCGCAGTTTTCCCTGCGGCCGAGCGCGCGACGACTCTTGCTCTTTTTGTTGCGAGGATGAGAACCATGATTCGATTCGGGTCCACGTCTCTGGCGGTGCCGCTCTTGTTGGTTCAGGTCGTAGGCGCTGCCATTCTAGCTCGCACGTAAGTGATCTGCTACCCCGTTGGAACAATGCAGTTAGGATTGTGCGATAATTGTTCTTCTGCAATTAAAGTTCTATTTGAACTACCTTTTTGCACCGAGGAATCCTTAAGAAATTGATTTCGATGCAAAGTTGGAGCCTATAAGAGAGGATAAGGCTCCGAGGTTTTTATCGAGATTCTGGGAAACTTAAAATGAATGGTTTTGATGTCCACACAGGGCTTGACGTTCATGTATGCATACGAATTGTACTCTATTTTGAACGGCTCTAGCCAAAAGTAGTGGTCGATGAGGTCATTGTGAAATTGTCTTTTAATGGCCTGGTGGTATTTAATCTAGGGATGTTCATACCTCTCGCTTTTAAATGCCGTTGTCCAAGAGCGATGTCATATGGTTGTTTTGTCCATTCCTCGTCTTTTGTGTTAATAAAATTGTCTTGTGCTGTCATCACATCGGAAATGCATACAACGTGTTTTTCTCATCATCACTCTCAGTGTGCACAATTGTGCTCTACGTATTGGCTTGTTCTCCCTTCGTCTTCCATAGGTAATCTGTATAATTAGTGTTTAGTTGATTCAAAGATTTTGACCTGCTATTTATGCGTGTCTGCTTGTCAACATTTCCAGTCTCCGAACCGATCCCGATCGTTGGAGGCCTCACAACTGCGCAGTTTGATGAGCCAATGCGGGTACAATGAGGCTTATCAAGGGCCTGATGATGGGACTTCTGAACTGCCTCCAAGGATGGCTACGAACGCTGAAGGGTCGGGTCACAAAGGCACACGTTTGAAGGGTCTCCATACTTCGCGCTATCGTACCCAGAGCACTGCCTTTGATCAACGCAAGGGGCCTGCTGATGCTGATAAAATTCCCGTTCTTCCCTTACACGATCCGGGAATTTCCTAGCACTTCCTCTTGCGTGGCCTTGCTTACCGCTCTCGTCATGCCAATTCCTTCCTCCCTAGGGTTTGTTCGAAAACCCTACACCTTGCGATTGACTGCTATTACTTCCCATTCAGAAGTTGTATCGACCTTGTATCACGTATCAATCCGTTTCTACTTCGTTGTCACCGACTTTTATTTTCTTCGTGAAGTATCCTATTTCCTCTTTTATATACATACATGTATTTACGAGAGCGGTTCGGGTCTGTTCCTGGATAAACAGAAACGCTTTTGTAGTCTATTTGGTGACGTGTTGCGTAAGTGGCCAAGGGTTTGAAATGGTGTGAGCATACCTTGAGTTTACTGAGGTCACATTCAAACAATGACCTCCTCTGACCTCTCTAAGCAGGTTATGTTTCTGCCTTCATTCGGGATCAGGCCTCTTAGTTGCCGACCTGGAATTGATCTCAGATTGGATCGGTTTAACAGGAGTTCGGTTGGTTCCTCAGATGAATGGATGATTAATTAGTGCTTTGACGCATTGCACTCACTTCAGCACTGTTTAAACAGTAGGCTCCTCATTCCTACAACCTTCCAGTTACGTCTACAGGTTTTAGCTCCTCGTTGGTATGGTCCACTACAACTTGGGATAAGAATGAGACTGCACTTCCGATGAAGTAGATCATTTGATCATTTCCTTATTCAAATGGGTCATTAAGATGGTTTCTCCGCTTCTTTGGCACGAGATCCATGTGAAGATGTAAACATGTGTGGTGAGGCATACGTATAGAGGTTAAAAATAGACTCGAGCCTCATGATAAAATAAGTAACGGGAGGGATACCTTGCCGTGTCGACTGTCAGGATCTTCTCAAGGCGTATTACTGGCGCAGCTCCTCATCACCCACGACTACACGAAGCCTTCTTTTTTTTATTACATATCGTGATGGTTCGTCGCCAAAGTTAAATTTCACAATAGCGTAAAGTTAGCGTATAATGTGTGGGGGTTGTTGCATTGTAGGCGTCTGATGACCTCATCTGGTGGGCCTCACAAAAACCAACGCGTAGCAGAACTTTCGTTTTAACGAGGGCACATCATGTGAATGTATGAGCATGAGATAGGGTCACACCAGAGCTCACTTTTGATTTAATCAAGACACCTGTGAAGGCTAGCCTTTGAGATCTTCAAAAGATAAGCAGAATAAAATTTCTCATAATCGGCAATTTTCTTTCAAAATTGTCTTGGGAAAACTTACCTCCAATACCACTTGAGACTTGGTTGCACTTTCTCACTTCGATTGCTCCTAAATCCTGCATATTTGGAAGTAGCGGAAATCAACATTCTCCTTTTTTGCGTAAAGCTTCAAGGAACAGCTGAGAATGGTGATTTTGGAGAAACTGTAATTTCAGACCAATAGAACAGGAATGGTAATTGTATTCACCGTTTGTGCCTTGCCCTACAAGTCTCAGAGGAATCGACAAAAGGTATCAACATGATGAGTGTTTCGAAAGCTCACTACTTTTTGAATTTCTTAGCTTTGCAGTTTTTTGACAAGCTGATAGTTCTACATCTCAGTCATGCATTTGCAGGTGCTGTCATGCGTGTAACGTTGTTTTGGTCACTTCAGAAAACAATTGTACTAAATAGCAACGCAAACGGATTGCTGAACTTCTGCTCATAAAGTAAACGCCAAATATTCTTTAATAAAAAGTCGCGTTGTTAGCATTTAAGTAGTATCTTTTCAAAGATTGAAGAAGCAAATTTACCCCTGGAAAGGTGAAAGTAAATGTGAGGAAAAGCAGAACTTACTATTTGTGATAAATGCAAGGGTTTTCTGACAGACTGTTCGTTTCCCCCTACATATAGGTTGGAATATGATTTGTTTGCACTTCCTCTGGATGTCTTGATTTCCAAATGGATTATTAGCTCCCCACCTTCTGTCGTAACTATTTCTACATCTAAGTGCTGTAAGTGGGAAAATTTGTGTGAGATTAGCTAAGATTTCTGTCGGTACTATCGTTCTGTGCTGCGCGTGAGGAATATGCACTATCAAGAAATTCAGTAGTCGGAGTTTTCTGCGGTACGTGTGCGAAGTCAATAAGGTGAATCTATGATCTCTCCATCTCTACGAACTAGACATAAGATATAACTGGCCATCACTGAGGCAAAGACAAATCGGCAAATTAAAACCGCCACGAAATCCTATTACGAATACCTTATTTTAAAACTTTTCTCGTTGAAAGACTCATCTTTATGGACAGCGTTCTTAGGGCTAGTGGTGGGGACAGGGGGTGGTCGCCACACGTTATATTCAGGAATTGCTGGAAGGAATAATTGACATTGGATTAAGCATTCGATTTTTACACGCAAACCTAATTGTTGGCTTGAGGTGTCATCAAATAATGTGCTGGAAATGATGGTAAAAATATCGATAAGGTTGTGTAATACCATTGGCTGTTTACGAGTTCTTTTAGTTCGATTTTGCTGGCATTGAAAACTACGGTTTTATTCCTCTGGGTAGTTGTGTCGTTCTCAGATGGGTTCCTTGGCTCTATGCTATCAATTTCAGCAATAACCAGCTACGGTCCTCACTCATTTGCATTATCAACTAATGTCGCACCAGAAATAACAGTCAGTCAAGCTGTTTCCCAAATAGTCATGCACAAGTGAGAATAACTAACCTTATGATCACGTAATGGCTTTCTATCTAAATTGTGCAATGTTTCAGCTAACTTTTCCAGTACCCAAATAGATTAATTGTGCGTGGGATAACAGTACCGAATTTGATCATTTGAGGGGCTAATTCTGCATGTCGAATTTTTCATTTTGGGCCGTCAAAAGGATGCTTTTATCAAGCCAAACACATTGGTAAGTTGTGGAAGTTTTTGCAGGAGACGTTTTAAGGCCTATTTTCAGTAAGCTACAGAAACTCCTGTTTCAGGAACCTAGGTAATTATGGAAAGGTGGTTTTACAGTCCTTTATACTGCCTGTCATAGTAATTTTTTAACAAGGAATTGGGGTTCTTTTATACGGTACCTAGATCATATAGTCCCTTTTTTAATTTTCTAATGTGTTGGTCTCTGCAAATGCATCGCTTCCAGCCGACCTCTATATCAGCAATACATATTGCATTCCGTTATTATTATTATTATTATTATTGTTTCATTAATGCAAGAAAAGACCCATGAAGCGCTTTATTAATGTAACTGTTTCCGATGATAACAGCAATGTAAGTTAAATATAACTTTTTGTTTTACCTGTCATCATTCATCGATTTCTCTTCAGCTTTGACTGCTATCTTGACTGCAAATTCGAATGCGTACAGTATTGACACAAAACTCTTGTCATTGTGTTTTATCTTGGCACTAACTTCTAACGAAATATCGTGTACCTGCTCAGAGGAGATAATGGAAGGTGGAGGAGTAGGGAGTTAAGGGAAATGTCGAAAACATTAAATGGTCCCTTTACTAAAATGAGAGATGAAAACACAATTAAGCATAGCATTGCTCCCCTCCATTTGATCCCTGTCTGCGGCCGTCACAACGAGGAGACTCTTAAACCGATTACTTCAATGGTCAAATTCTCCCTCGTCGAGGATTACACCAGCTTCCCTGGTTCCTTGTGGCAACGCTACTGAATAAAGCGCTTCGTTCTGGTTGACACTTGAGGATGGATGGAAGAGGTGCTCTTGCGTGTCCATTGCATCGATGCATTCATACAGGTGCTGTAGGCAACTACATTGTAATTTAAAATCAAGTCAGTGTCAATCGCTATCAGTAATAATTAGTGTCAACAGGAGGAACATTAGGGCAGCTTTATGCAACACTCATCATACTACTCATGGGTACAAGTGCGAAATGTGATGGAAGGCAGAAGAGACTGAGCGATACGAATTTTTCATTCTGTGCCAGTTCTAGTCTTCTTTACTTCATTTCTCACTATTAATCTCTACATAATATCAATTTCAATGACAGAAACATGGTTGATCGCAGTTCTGAAGTAGTTGAAGAAAGTTTTTTAGCAAACCTTATACACATGCATAGGAACACTCTCCATCAGAAATGTAAAACCATGTCGTTCACTCCTTGAAAATGGAGCTTATCCTGTATCAGTGACAGTGGAGGAGGAGTACATCTTAGCATATCAAATACAAACTCTCTGTTAATCCAATGGGAAAACCATGCTGATTTAAGCAATTTTATAGTTGATTTCATTTAACTGCTTCTTTGATGAGTCGATTACACACTTAAGATTGCGTCACTCGTGGCAAAATAGTAGTATTGTGTTAAAGCTGATGATAGTGCGTCACCATTGATCGGGGTGTTGCTCTCACTATGACCTAACGCCTGCCTTGGGTCGTGCCAAGACGCTGCTCACCACTCAGGTGCAAGTGAACTTAAATTTTTTTACCGTAATAGATGCATCAGAACAGCAACCTAATTTTATGCTCCCAATTAAACGACTTTCATAGAGCAAAACATGAACTCTCATTTTCAGACAAGACGTTTGTTTTTCCCTCTTCCAAAGGCAACGCCCAATGGGTCGGGGGCTTAGAAAGGCAAGTTACGTCTTTTAAGGGCACTTGTGATGCTTCGAATACCTATTTTGCTTCTAGTCTTGGTTGCATGGGTAATTGAGGCTCTGCCTCTATAAAATATGTCAATGCTCCCCTCTCTCCAGCATTCTTTACGTCAGTAGTAAATATTTCTGCCTTCCTTTGTTTTCAGGGAAGCCTTAAGTTTCCACAGTGGTCATTTATAGTTTAATACTGACATTTTTCTCTCAAGTACTCCATCACCATGCAAATTTATAGCCAAGGTTCACAGCACATCGAGCTGATCAACATCGACTTAGGCGATCGTCAACTAATCAAATCAAAATGCCAATTATTTTAGAAAACAATTTTGGAGAAAAGCAAACTATATCAAAGCTAGTGAATTAAATTTTTTTGCAATCCTCATAATTTTCCAAATTATAAGAATGAGGACGAAGTTGTTACTTCGGAAGAATTTATGCTCACCGAT